ACGCGCAGAAGGAAGTAAGGAAGAAGGATCAGAAAGCATTGTTCTTCATTCATTAATGTGTGGATATAAATGTGTTTGAGAAGATTGCAGATTCAACAACAGCAAAGGCTGCGTGGGACACACTGGTGAGATGTTATGGTGGTGACGCATCAGTGAAGAAGGTGAAGCTTCAGTCCTTGAGAAAGCAATATGAGAATCTCAACATGAAGAATAATGAGAAAGTCTCTGAATACATCTCCAGAATGATTCTGATCACTAATGAGATGAAGGCGTGTGGAGAAACTCTTTCAGAAGAAACAATAATGGAGAAAGTATTGAGATCCCTTACTCCTTAATTTGATTACATTGTGGTAGCAATAGAACATTCCAAAGATCTGAGCACCATGAGAATTGAAGAGCTGCAGAGCAGTCTAGAAGCGCAAGAGTTGCGTTTGACTGAGAGAACTTCTGAAAAGGAAGTAGAGCAGCAGGCTCTGAAAGCAACTTCTGATAGGAGGTATCAAAAGCAGTCAGAAGCCAGGAGAAGATCTGATGGTGGTCAGAAGTCAGAAAGCTCAACCTCTGATAGACAAAAGAATGCTCAGAAGGGAAAAGAAAAGTATGACAAGAAGAAGATCCAATGTTACTGTTGTAAGAAGTTTGGTCACTTTGCTAGAGATTGTTGGTCAAACAAGGAGAGAAAATCAGAAGAAGAAAATATAGCCAGAAGTTCTGATGACGAATCTGTGCTATTGATGGCTTCTGAATCTGATAATATGGATCTGATAGACTGGTGGTATATGGACACTGGCTGTTCAAATCATCTTACTGGAAACAAGAAATGGCTGGTTGACTTTGACTCTGAAAAGAGAACAAAGATCAGATGTGCTGATGACAAATATCTTAATGCAGAAGGTATGGGAAATGTCAGAGTGATTCTGAACAATGGGAAAACAGCATTGATTCAGAACGTGTGGTATGTACCTGGCATCAGAAGCAATCTGATGAGTGTGGGACAATTAATTGAGAAAGGTTTTTCAGTTACCATGAAGGATAATCTTCTGAAGCTGTATGACTGCAATCAGAAGTTGGTTATGGAGTCAGAACAAGGAAGGAATAGAACATTCAAGGTGAATGTCAGAGCTGCAGACTCAGAATGTCTTAGTGCAACATGTGCTGAGAAGGAGAGTGAGCTGTGGCACAGAAGATTTGGTCATTTGAATTTCAGAAGCTTAAAACATCTGAATTCAAAGAAGTTGGTACATGGAATTCCTGCAATTAAGAAGCCTGAAAAATCATGCAAAGTTTTCATGGAAGGAAAACAACCACGATTTCCATTTGCGTCAGAAGCTGCTCCAAGAGCAAAACATGCCTTGGGAATTGTACATTCTGATGTGTGTGGTCCATTTCCAGTAGCATCAATTGGAGGGAATAAATACTTTGTGTTGTTTGTTGATGAATTCACAAGAATGACATGGGTATCCCTTATTAAATTTAAACATGAGGTGTTTGATGAATTCAAGAAGTTCAGAATGAAGGCTGAGAATCAGAGTGGTCAGAAGTTGAAGATTCTTAGAACTGACGGTGAAGGTGAGTATAACTCCAAAGAGTTCCAGAAGTTCTGTGAGGAGAATGGAATTGAGCATGAGGTTACTTCTCCTTATACCCCTCAACACAACGGTCTTGCTGAAAGAAGAAACCGTACTTTGCTTGATATGGTGAGAAGCATGCTAAAGGAGAAGAAGCTTCCTCAGAAGCTCTGGGGAGAAGCTGTTGCCACTGCAACGTATGTACTCAACAGATGTCCTACGAAGAAGTTGAAGGAAATCGTTCCTATGCAGAAGTGGACTGGAGACAAGCAAAGTGTTAATCATCTGAAGGTGTTTGGTTCTGTTTGCTATAAACATGTTCCAGAAGCCAGAAGACAGAAGTTGGATGATAGAAGCAAAGGGATGATTCTGATAGGGTACCACAGTACAGGTGCATACAAGCTCTATTGTCCAGAAACCAATAAAATTGAATTCAGCAGAGATGTGATTGTGAAGGAATCAGAAGTTTGGAATTGGGATAAGTCCCAATCTGATTATGATGTTAGAACTTCTGAAGAAAGGTCAGAGTTAAGAATTTCTGAAGTTGAAGTAAACTCTGATGTTGATTCTGACTCTGATAGTGATTCTGACTCTGGAGAAGACTCAGAAGATGAAGGTGACTCTGATGATCCAGACTCTGATGGTAATCCAGATTCTGGTGGAAATTCAGACTCTGAAGATGGCCAAAACTCTGAAAATATGCCATATCTTGAAGATGGTCAAAGCTCTAGAGGAAGTCAACCATCTGAAGCTGGAAACTCTGAAGCTCAAGACTCTGAACAAGTTCAGAGACCACAAAGAATCAGAAGCGTTCCCAGAAGATTTGCAGAATTTGACATGTTGCAAGACACTGAAGTAGACTCTGAAGGAAAAGTTATTCAGTGTGCCATGTTAGTAGACTCTGAACCTATAAGTACAGAGGAGGCTCTTAAGCAGAAGCTCTGGCTGAAGGCCATGAAAGAAGAACTTGATGCTATAGAGAGAAACAAGACTTGGAAGCTGACAGAACCTCCAAAAGACAAGAAAGCCATCAGTGTTAGATGGGTTTTCAAGCAGAAGTTAAAGCCAGATGGTTCAATTGGCAAACATAAAGCAAGGTTGGTAGCCAGAGGATTTCTACAAAAACCTGGGCTGGATTACTCTGAAGTGTTTGCACCTGTAGCAAGACATGAAACTATCAGAATGGTGATTGCAATAGCTGCTAACAGGAATTGGCCTCTGATGCATTTAGATGTAAAATCTGCATTTCTGAACGGTCCATTAGAAGAAGAAGTTTACGTGTCACAACCTCCTGGATTTGTGAAAAAGAATCAGGAAGGGATGGTGTACAGATTATACAAAGCTCTATATGGATTGAAACAAGCGCCCAAAGCTTGGAATCAGAAGATTGATTCATTTTTCAAGAAGCAAGGCTTTCAGAAATGTGAGATGGAGTACGGTGTCTATGTTTAGCATACTTCTGAAGGCAATATGACTCTGGTATGTTTATATGTTGATGATATACTGCTGACTGGAAGTTCTGAACAGGAGATAGCCAAGTTCAAGAAAGTTCTGATGAATGAATTTGAAATGACTGATCTAGGCAAAATGACATACTTTCTAGGGATGGAGTTCAGATATTCTGAGAAAGGTATCATTTTGCATCAGCTCAAGTATGAATTAGAACTTCTGAAGAGATTTGATCTGAAAAATTGTAAGATGGTTGTCACACCTTCTGATACAAATCAGAAACTGGATTCAGACTCTGAAGGAAAGGATGTGGACGCTACAACCTTCAAACAGTTGGTTGGTTCTCTGAGGTATCTGTGCAATACCAGACCTGATATTTGCTACTCAGTTGGGATGGTTAGTAGGTTCATGAGTAAACCTAAGTGGTCCCATTACCAAGCTGCTGTCAGGATTCTGAGGTATATCAAAGGAACTCTGAAGTATGGAGTGTTACTTCCCTCTGGAGGAAATAATGAGTCAGAACTTCTGAGTTATTCAGACTCTGATTGGTGTGGAGACAGAGTTGACAGAAGAAGTACATCTGGGTACTTGTTCAAATTTCTGGGAGGTTCTATTTCTTGGTGTTCCAAGAAGCAACCTGTTGTGGCGTTGTCAACCTGTGAAGCTGAATACATTGCAGGTGCTGTTACTGCATGCCAAGCTGTGTGGATTCTGAATCTGTTGCAGGATCTGAAGATTAAAGTAGACAAACCTCTGAAGTTGATGATTGACAACAAGTCTGCAATCAATCTTGCCAGAAACCCAGTGTTGCATGGGAGAAGCAAGCATATTGAGACCAAGTATCATTTTCTGAGACATCAAGTTCAGAGTGGAGTGTTAGAAGTTGTACACTGCAGCACTCAGAAGCAGTTGGCAGATGTTCTGACGAAAGCTATCAAGACCGATCAATTTCTTAGACTAAGGGATGGAATTGGTGTTACAAGTTTTGATGGAATATGAATTAAGGGATGGTATTAGAATATTAATAGTAATTCATATTTATTTAGTTGTACTATTTTCCTTAGCCCCTAAGTTTGTTAGAGGGTATTTTAGTATTTTATCTTATTCTAGTAACCCTAGTTTTAGCTTATAAATAGGGTGACAATCATTGTAACTTTTAATCATGTTTTGTAGCCGTCATTCTTAATAGAATATTCTCTCTGTTCATCATTTATTCACTTTTGCACCAACACTATTGAACCTTGTTGAATGAAATTTGACTTGGTGTAAAAAAGAAATTTGAAAGAGGTTGAGTTGAGTTTGAGTAAATTAAAAAATGAGAAAGGTGATCAAAAGTCTGACGCGACTTAATATTTAAAATATTTTGAAAATTAATCCTCGAAATATTTTAACGTTAACTAATAATTTATTGGTTTCAGATATACAATTTCTAAAATATGAAACATTTATAGTGTGATGTAGTAGAAAGATATAGAATGGATTAAGAAATAATCAAATATAAATATATCTTATTTTATATCAAAGTTTCTGTTATAATATATTATTCTTAAATTTAACACAAACTTATAGAGTATCTCATTCCAGCCATATCTGCCACATCTTTCCAAAGCATATATTCACCTACTATACTTTTTCGCTTTTTTCCTAGAACCATAAACTCAAATTTTTTTACATTTCTGCGAGCATATAATTTGTTTCATAGCATTTTGCATCTTATCTAAAAGAATATATTCACTTTTGTTTTAGATTTCAAATTGACAAGTTCATTTTTAGTGCAGCGAATCTAATTACTTAGCATTCTCAAAACACACATTAATATATTTCATGTTGTTTACCTTAAGAATCAAATCTTATATTTTAATATACACAGCATCTTCTTTCCAAACATTTTCTATATAAAGCGGCACTTCCTTTCTTTAAGTTATAATATGTTAGCGTCACACATAGTTTTGTCTCTCACACACATATAAGAGTGTATATAGGATGAAACCTCATCTTCATGTCTCCGGTGAGAATTCTCCGACAAACGAGTTTAGAAAACCCGTCGGAGAGAAACTCAAACGGATTGAAGACGCTTCTAGGAAAGGCGGAGTTCAGATGTGTGATAAAATTGAGAGACGGAGATGGAGCCACCGTGATGAAGACCCTATTAGAACTTTGATGTTTTTGGGGTCATGGAGTCACACATGACTAACTAATCAATCATTCATTGAGTTTAGTGTTAAAATAAAATGAAACTCCTGTTATATAAATAAAAGTGGTTGAAAATTGAATAGGTTCTGTTTGTCTCATGTGTATATTGTAATTAATTAGTACTCTGTTTGTGGTAGTGTAAATATATTTATAGCCTTATTTAGAAAAGATACTTAATAAAACTGGAAAAAAACTAAGGTGAAGTGAACAAAATGCAAAAGAAACTGCATTCTCTAAGAATATGCAACAAAAATTCCATGTATATGATATATAACGTGTTGTGCGTTCAACCGACGGATTAGATCGGACGATTATTGATACATTGAATGAATTTGAATTCATGTATTAGTCTTGCCATAAATTAAAGAAAAAAAATTAATATATTATACAAGTCATGAAATATTTTTCATCTACACATATAACAACCACATCTCCAACATTATTATCACAACATTTTTGTCTTTGGTCAATCGAGCCTCCACCCATGTCTTATAACTAGATATATTATCTAATTGTTCTCACTTTTTCTAAATACAATTTGAAAAATAATATCATTAAATATTAAATACAATAACATAATAGGCTCATTTTACATTATCATGTCAATAAATGAACAATCTTTTATATTATATTAATCAACTTTAATTATTGTTAAAAATTATTTTTAATATTTAAATATTTATTAACTAACTTTATAATTTTATTAACTAATTTTTTATTTTTTATTAATCAACTCTGGTTCACAACAAAAAATTATTTTTAATATCTGAATGTTTATTAATCTACTTCATCACTTTATTAAACAATTTTATATATTTTATTAACCGATTTTATTTCATTATTTTAAAATAATTGTTCATGGGTACTGTTCAAACATTATTCATAATATATATATATATATATATATATATATATATATATATATATATATATATATATATATATATATATATATATATATATATATATATATATATATATATATATATATATATATATATATATATATATATATATTATTTTAAAAAACATTGTTCACCGTATTTATACGGTGAACAATGTATTAAGTGTATGTTTTAGTGTAAGAAAAAGATGTAAGAATAGCAAAGTTGTTTAATAAATTGTATATATTTATCTAAAAGATTGCATATAACATTTTCATTCTTGTCTTTAATATTTTTTTTTTTGTCAACTTGAGTCTTAAAGCGTAAAGCATCGTACCAATTGTTGTTAGAGAAATATATATTTTTTATTTTAAAAAACATTGTTCACCGTATAAATACGGTGAACAATATATTAAGTGTATGTTTTAGTGTAAGAAAAAGACGTAAGAATAGCAAAGTTGTTTAATAAATTATATATATTTATCTAAAAGATTGCATATAACATTTCTATTCTTATCTTTAATATTTTTTTTTTGTCAACTTAAGTCTTAAAGCGTGAAGCCTCGTACCAGTTGTCTGTTAGAGAAATAATATTTTTCCGTACCTGCACTGCTACATTTGTATCCAACAACATTGCATATATACGCATAATATTGAAATACTGCAAGTACACCACTAGAGTGTCAGTGTTGCTTTGGTCTCATGAAATCGTGGTGTCCACCAAGAATATTTGACACACTGTAATGGTGAGTTGCTTGTGCAGGTGTTTACTCACTTGGTCACCACCCATGTCACAAACACTTATTGCTTCTAGGTATCTTTCAAACCTAGTCTTTTTAACTTCCATCTCAGCTTATATGTTGGATAAGATCCATCATCAGTTCCATTGCTTCATCGTTAAGTATTGCAAGGTGGTCCATTAAAAAACCCTAGATGGAAATATGTAGCATTAAAGACACGTCATCTAGTGTCAGTATCATCTTTCTAACTGATAGATGAATGCTACTAGTCACTTCATGCCACCTCCCTGAAAAATCCTCCAACAGACCATATCCAAATTACTAGTAACTTGTGGTGGCGAGGTCAATCAATATAATGACTCTATTAGAACCTTCGAACCATCTTTCGATTAAAGTAGTCAAGTGAATTATCCTTTTTATGTTAGTGACTCATTGAAGTTGTAGGTTATGAAATTGGGAAATTTTAGAATTTTGAACCATAAGATTAGTGAACAATGGTGGAAAAAATTGAGAGAGAGAGAGAGAGAGAGGGAGGGAGAGAAAGAGAAAGGTGAATATTGCATTAATCAAAGATGAGGATGTCTCCAAAGCATTTATGCAAGTGTTACAAAACAATTGAGATCCAAAACACATAAACAAAATACAAGAAAAAGTAAAAACTCGGGACGATAACTAGTTAACACAAATCGTTAATCGGTTACTACTGACAAAACTAAACTATATAATTAGGTGTAACTGGTTAAAAATTTTGGTTAACCGGTTATCACAACTCTTGAAACTGCTTTTTCCTTGTCCAGAAGTGCTTTTCTTCTAGCTGTAACTGGTTAAACTGTCGTTTTAACCGATTACAACATTTGAATTTCTTGGATTTCAGTCAACGCACCACCTTATTTCAGGTGCTCCAAGTCTTCCATGCCCATGCTCATTTTCTACCTTTCGAACACATCGTTTGTGACTCCCTTAGTCACCAAATCAGCATCTTAGTATTCACTTCTACAATATCCCAATCTTAAATTTTCTTCACTAATAAGCTCCCTCAAGTAGTGAAACCTTATGTTCAAAGTCCTTTTCCATCCCACGTGCAATTAGGTTCTTAACAAGATTAATCGTGGAAACATTGTCAATCAGGAACGTGACAGCCTCACCCCCACTACTGCTCAGTTCCTCCAATAGGTTCATAAGCCACACAGCTTGACACACACATAACAAAGCAGAAATGTACTCGGCCTCACAAGATGAGAGTGCAATTACTGGTTCATTTTTCGAACACCATAAAATTGGTGTTGCACCAAACATAAAGATGTATCCAGCAATAAACTTTCAATCATCTTTATCTCTACGCCAATTGAAATTGATAAAATTGAGCAAATTGCATTTTCTTCCTATATCCGATGTGGGAAAGAGAAATCCGCACCCAAAAGAACCTTTTGCATATCTTAGGATCCTCTTGACTGCTGCCAAGTGATACACCTTCGGTCTCCCCATGAATCTACTCACAATACTGACATTAAACACTAAGTTATGTCGCGTATTGCACAAGTAATGCAAGGATCCAATCAACCTCCTATATTGAGTTGGATCAACATCTTGCTCATCCTTATTCTTAGACAACTACAATATTGGTTCAGCTGGAGTAATGACTGGATTATAATACTCCATTTCAAACTTCTTCAATATCTAATGAGCATACCTTTTTTGGTGCATGAGCAATCCCTTTTGGACTTTTGGAACTCAATGCCAAGGAATTATGTCATGAGAACAAGATCGTTCATCTCAAATTCATCCATAAGTTCACCCTTGAACTTATAAATGCACTTCCTGTTGGTGCTTGTAATCAATAAGTCATCTACATATAGACAAAGGATAATCATTGTTTCACTTGTATCCGTCTTCACATACACTCCATGCTCAGATATACATTTCTTGAAGCCAACCTCCTTTATGACACCATCTGTTCTTTTATTCCATGCTCTTGGAGCTTGCTTCAAACCATGTAACACTTTTTTTAACTTATAGAACTTCATTTCTTGGTTTCTCTTAAAAAAAACTAGGGGGTTGTCCTACATATACCTCCTCTTAAAGCGGTCCGTTCAAAAATTCAGATTTGACGTCCATTTGGTAGATGGGTCAATTTTGTTTATTTGTAATACCAAAAAAAAGCCTAATGATTTCAATCATAGCAATCGGTGCAAATACCTCTTCAAAGTCTATGTCTTCTCTTTGTAAAAATCACTTAGCAACCAATCGAGCCTTATGCTTGATTATTTCACCCTTGGGGTTTACCTTCACTTTGAACATCCATTTCACACCAATTGAATTCTTTCCGTCCAATAAATCAACCAAACCCCAAGTATTGTTCTTCTCAATAGATTCCAACTCCTCCTTCATAGCAAAAATCCACTTTGGATCACTTAAAGCCTCTTCCATTTTAACGAGTTCGGATTCGGCCATAAGTGTAAAATAGATGAAGTCACCATCATCATTGACTTTGTTGTCTTTGAACGACTCATAATATTAGATTCTTTGAGGCAATCTTTTTTGCCTTGTCGATCTTCTAACATTTTCTTCATTTTGAGCTTAGACGACAGGTTGTTCTGCTCTTCTTGTTTCTGTAAAATCTGGAATTTTGAAGTTGTAACTGGTTACTGCTTTCAAGTAATTTGTTAACAACTGCATGTAATTGGTTAACGAATACTTGTAATCGGTTAACAACTACTCTACTTGCATCAATTCATTTACCAAAACCAAGTATTATCTTGAAAGTGTGCTACTTCTATTATTTGTTGTTGTTTAATTTTCACTGGGACTGTGAGTGATTAGGAATTGAGAGGAGGATCTCATAACTAGAAGGTTTCTAGGTAGAAGTTGCACAAGGTAGTAATTAGGTGATAAGTTGTTAACGAATGAGTTTAGCTTTGAACTAACACTATCATAGTGAATTTCCTTCCTGACTTGGATGTCCTCAGATGTAGGTGATGTTGCACTGAACTGGGTTACCAATTAATTGTGTTATTTATATTTCTGCAATTTTTTTATCTCTGGTTTTTTGTTATGTCAGACATAAGATGTTGTAACATCTGTCTTGACATTAAGTTTTGATGTGAGGACATCAATATTATCTTGTGTTAGAGTGCCATAATTTCAGGCTTAATCTCCTTGAGGTTCCTTCCTGTTCGTATCACACTCTATTACAAAATGACTCAACCTTTGACACTTAAAGCATTACTCTTTACTTTTTACAAACCATTACTTTTCACCTCTAAAGTTGCCTTGACCACCATATTTGTTTCAGCTGCTGTTATACTCTAATTTTTAACCCCAATATCCCACCCTCCTTTTGTATTTTTGCTTACAAACAAGATCACAAGCTTGA